TGGCGCAGTAGCTTTGGTTGAGGATTAACAGACATTGTGCTTGGCTTAATGAGTCTAGGTGGCATTGGTGTTGCTAATAGGAGACTAGCAGGCTCAATGACGAAGGGCTCATACGTAAGCAGATTCCATGCTGGGACCGATGGGAGATTAGCAGGCATGTGGAGCCGGGCAGGGTGGATGTGACTGGTCAGGACACCAGGTAGCCATAGCACCCTATCTTTCCTCATAGAAGCGGCTGCTGCCCAGTGTCTGGTCAGAGTCTGAGGATGGGGCAGGATCGCCCCCACCTTACCATCGTCGAAAGAGGCCCAGCTCTGCCCGACGTCACCATCTTGGGCCTACCTTGAAGCCCACCTTGGCTACACGCACAGCCCAACCAGACCATACCCAGGCTCCAACGAAGCAGGAAGCAGGTGGTGGCTTTGTGCTGCCTCCGCCTGGCACTGACCTTGTGTTTTTACGGGAGGGCGCAAGCAGTCCTGTGCAGGTGCCAGGCCCTGTTGCAGCTTCCACAGAAGCCCTGTTGCAGGTGAGGGCCCCACCCTGTCCTTCCCTTCCCAGCCCCACCCAGCCTCATGCCAGGGAGCTGAGACCAAGTCTGCTGCAATCCTCCCTCACGCAGGAGGCCCAGTGCTCTGGCCTGAGTTGGGTTGTGGCCTTACCCCAGGTGAAGCAAGAGAAGGCGGATACCCAGGACGAGTGGACACCAGGCACAGCTGTCCTGACTTCTCCCGTATTGGTGCCTGGCTGCCCTAGCAAGGTGGGGGCAGTGATGGATGTTCTGTTGATGCCGTAGCAGGCTGGTCTGTAAGCAGAGTGATGATGAGCCATGATGGTTCTCTTAAGCAGAGCAATAGATGTGCTGATTGCAACCTTTCTGCAGAATTACCCCGCCTGTCTAACAGACACCCTACCTCCTGCAGGCAATTAGCTTTGCCCGCTTTGCTGTCCAGCTAACAGAAAAACGGAGGTCAGTGAGGAATGGGAATGGGAAAGGTTTATAGGCAGAGATGGCCTTTCTGTGTTGAAATGTGATGGAAGGTAGGATTTGTCAGCACAGTGAGGGGTTGGCTGATAGAGACTTTCCTCGGGCTAACTCTGCCCTTCTAATGGCTGCCTGTTTCCTACTTCTCCCAGGCAGTAGACCCAGGCCTGCCATCTGTGAAGCAAGAGCCACCTGACCCTGAGGAGGACAAGGAGGAGAACAAGGATGACTCTGCCTCCAAATTGGCCCCAGAAGAAGAGGCAGGAGGGGCTGGCACACCCGTGGTCAGTGCTGGGGATGCCCCACCCTGCCCTGACCCTGCCATAGCCCCAACAACCACATTGACCTATGGTGTTAATTCTTCTCTAGATCACGGAGATTTTCAGCCTGGGTGGAACCCGCTTCCGAGATACAGCGGTCTGGTTGCCAAGGTGTGCCCCACACAGTGAGGGGTGGGGAAGGAGGGGGTGTTGGCCAGATGTGGGCCCTGAGTTTTGAAAGTATAGCCAGCAGTTTGGCATGGTGTGGTGGGAGGTAAAGGCCCATACCCACTATGCTGATCACAATTAATGAGGGGCATGTGTGTAGGACCATAGAGATTTCTCCGGAGATCCAGCCCAATAGCATTCCAGGTTAGGACTCTCCTTTGGGGGTAGGGGGAAGACTTGACACTCTATCATGAAATTTGAAAGAAAAAGATAGGGAGTCTGGTCCCTATTTTCCTAAGAAATATCTATAAGGGTCAGCTTTAATATATAAATTCTTGTTCAGAGAATAATCATTTGGAGTCTTGAAGGCCTTTGGAGTCTCCAGGAGACCTCTGGGTGGGCTGTTGCCTGACATTGAGCAATGTATATCAGAGAAATGGTGCTGGGCTTGCCTGGGCAGTGGGATGGGCAGGAGATCTGGGTTCCGAGCTGGCTTTGTGAGCCGGGTTCACACGTAGTTGCGTGATCTCTGGTTGCCCTGTACTTCCTGGAGCTGCCTCTGTGGAGGGGCTTGGGCTGGATCTCTTGAGCCTTTCCTGAGCCTATTGAGGTTATTAACTTCAGATGCCATGCAGAACTGTCCCTATAGTCCTGGCATAGGACGAAGGGTAGATGCCTGTAAGGACTAGAATGGTTGGGAGGGCAGGGGAACGCTGACTCCTATAGAATGTTGACAGACCCTGCATAGAGCCCCAGACACTGGCAATGTAAACTATTGGCCAAGCACGTGGATTCCTTTGCTCCTACAAACTAGCCCACCAGGCTGGAAACCCTTTCATCTATGCTTGGCCAATTACAGAAGTCCTGATTGAGTTCCTGCTGGGTGCACAGCATTGAGGACAATGAGCCCTGCAAAGCTTATATCCTGTGTCAGGAGACACAAGATACCTACCTTCAGGGAGCTTATTATCTGACTATGGACAAGCTGTCTGTAATGGTAGTTTTTAGAAGATATAAAAAAAGATAAAGGTATAATTAAGGGGAAGTGGATGGAGGACACAGAATACTAGGAAATGGTTTTGTAATGCTCCATTTCGCATATAGCAAACCTCATTCAACATACAGACCTGCTCCCTCTTCCCTAGGTCCAAAGACCTTAAAAAACCTGGAGCTAGAAAGCAGTAGACTGGAGGCTTCTACAGACTGTAGGATTCAAGGTGATATTTGCAGACTGGCTTTATGAGAGACAACACTGATCTACTAGGGGCTGGACCCTAGATTGGTTGCCAGGGCTTGTGTGTGAATCAACCCTAGGAGGAAAAACCTACCACGAAACCAGAGGAGCAGGCCTAACAGTACTTTGAGCTTCTAGAAGAAGTAAGCGGGAAAGGAAGAGAAAGAGTAGAAAGTTGGTGCATCTTCTCCTCCCCAAGAGCCTGAGTATAAGAAGTTGGATTTTAAGGGTGGGGGAGCTGGGATGGGGAAAGGTAATATAATTAAAACCACCACAAAACAACCTAAACAAGCCATGTTCATGAATAATTGTAAGTGGCTTCTGGATGAGACCTGGCAGTGTCTCTACATACTTCCTCAGGGAGACAGCAATTGAAAATGTAATTGAATAAATAAGGAAAGGAACTGCTATTTGGTGTGTTCCTCTGTGGACCCAGTTTATTTAATCCTTAGAATAATCTTTTTGGGAAGACATTGATTTTGCCCATTTTTGTGAATGGGAAAACAGACTCATTAATTTGTCCAATGTCGAACAGCTGGTGTTAGTAGAGCCTAGAATGAAACCCAGCTTTTAAAGCCCTTGTTCTTTAAGCCACTAAACTGTAACCTGTAATCCTGTATGCACTAATAGGAGTTTTTGGTGACCTTCAAAACACAGATTACTATAAGTACTATAATAAATCCCTTACATTCCTGTCTCTAGCATGGTTTAGAAAGTGCCAAGACTCGATGTAGATGGGGTCACCTTGTCAGAACATCTGTTCATACAGAAACTGGGTTTCCTGCAGACCCCAGGTGCTGCATAGGATTCCTCAAACCCTACAGGATATATCTCCCCACTGGCTGCTGTCCATTTTGCTTGTTACCCTGACTCCCCCTCTTCAGCTAGAGCAGTCTTTGTAACTAAAGCTGCCAGCCTGGCTCATCTTTCCTGACAACGTGCATCTCCTGCCCTCTGATGACCTTTGTGCTTGGCTCCTGCCCTCAGCCCAAATGTCTTCTAGGAGGCTGAATTCCTGCTTCGAGTCCTGCCCAAGGGCCAGTCTTGGCTCAGCCCTACCTCACTCTTTCCAATTCTTCATTCATAAAGTGCCAAAAAGATTAGACCTGTAATTTGTTAGCCAGCTTTACAGGGCCAGGACTGAGTGAGTGCCTCCTTAAACTTTGTATCCTACGTGCCTCCCTTGCCTTACCCTAGTCCCAGCCCTGCAGCTTTAAGTAATTCAGACATGGATGAGCCATTTCCCAGTTCTATCATACAGTCCAGCCTCTGCCACCTTCGCCACCCCTTCCTTTATTCCACCCTAACTAGTTCAGCCCTAGTCAAGACTGGATAGACTGATACTGCTTTGTTTCCCCCAGGAACCAACCACCCAACCCCAGTATTCTGGTAATTTTGACAATGAACTATATGAAATTTATTTGATTGACATTTAGACTCATGAGTTAAGCTTCTGCCTACCATGTATGTTAGGGTACAATCAGAAGAGCAGAACCACTAAGATAAAGATTATGTATATATGTACTTTAAGGGATTTATTATAGAGATCTGACTGCATGCCATTGTGGGAGCTGGTTAAACAGTCTCTGTAAGGCTGTTATCTTTGCATCTAATGCTGGAGCTTGAAGTCTGCAGGGCAGGCACTCGGGAAGGGAAGATGGATGTAAAGTGTGGGAGACCGAGGACACAGTGGAGCCCACGAGCACGAGCTGGAACCCACGAGGATGGCCTGGAACCCATGTCAGTCTCTCACCACCTCCAGCTTCGATGATGTGGGTGTCCTGCAGAAGAAGCTGGTGCCCTTCCTCACAGAGTTAAATATGCATCTGGCCCAGGAATTAGAGAAGCTGAAGAGATGATCCTGGGGAAGGTGGAGCAGCTGCAGGCCTGGCTGCTGCCCACACCAACGAGGTGATCCAGCAGATACATGACAATGTGTGAACTGCAACAGCGCCTGGTGCCCCAGCACCAGCCTTCCAAGTGTAAAAACAATATGCTGCTGCTTCACTTCTGCCCTCCAGTTATCAAGCAAAATGTCTCTTGTGGCCCATCTTACTGGAAGAGAGTTCTGGGAAACAGCCTCACCAAGGTGACACATTACAAAGCCGCCCTACCATGAATCCGCTCCCAAGGGTCTCACTACTCACCTGAGGATAACTCAATATAACCATGTTGCTGAAAATGCAAAGCTGAAGACCATGAATTTCATGGTGATTCCAGCAAGTGCAGAGATTCTATGAAGCCCACCCAGAAAAAACTTGCTGGTCCTGGCTATTTTTGTGTCATTCAAGTATTGAGAACCAGGCCTGTGGTAGGCACTATACTTAATACTAGGATACAGAAATGCAAAAGATACGGCCCATGCAATTTTATTAAATGCATCAATATGTATTACAAATGGTGAATGGATTTCCAACTTTATCATGGAATTTAATGCTGAATATATAGAATTCAGAAAATTATTGGGAGGACAGCCCTTTTGTGAACCTTGTTTGGGGCACAGTAGGAATTGGAAATAATTTAGTTTCTATCTCTAAGCTGTTCTATTTTAAAATTATTTTTAAATTTTTATTGTCCCACTTACATGCTCAGTGTTTCTTTTGGGAGTGGTTTGGTGGGAACAGTGTTGACTGCCTCTGAGAAACTGGGATAGTGGGTGGGAAGATCAAGGTCACTTCTTTCCAAGGACCCTGAGATTCACTTTCCTAGGCCGCCGGGGCGGGGGGGGGGGGTTCACTGAAGGCTGAGGCTCTCGGTGCTCAGCACTGGCCGGACACCGTCAACCTGCTGGTGGGCCCGCCAGGGGGCGCCGAGGCGAGAAAGCCCGTAGTTCCCGGTCGGGGAACCACTGGGACCCTGGAGGCACCGCCCGTCACCCATCACCAGTGGCCTGGCCGCCCTGGGGCGTGGCATCCGTCCGGCGCAAACCCCAGTACCTGGGCTAGGGCCAGAGGGAAGCTGAGTGCCCCTCTTCAAATAGCGGTAAAACAGGCAAAACCGACCCAGGGTTAAATTTCGGAGCTCGTCCAGGGTGAGGGCGGGGCTCGACGACCTAGGACGTTCGAGTGCAGCCGGGTGTCGCCAAGGGTCGGTTTACCCCATCGCCTCAGAAATTGTGACCAGGCCCTTTGGGCTGCACAACCTTGGGAATCCCCAGCGGGCGGCCCCGAATCGCCGCCGATTTTCCCAAGCCCTGCTCCGGGCCCAACGCGTTTTCGTTGCCGTCTTCCCGGAGGTGTGGTGGGGGAGGTTCCGCCCAGACCAATGGGCGGTCCCGGGGCCCGTTGAACTCGAAGATCAAAGAACCGCCCCTCTGGACACTCCAGGAAACCGAGACGACCACCTAATTTGTTTCTTTTTCTGTTCCAGGCCACGTAAACTCTTAGTAAATGCAAATGAGTGTTTTACTGAACTGCAATTGAACACAAAATGACAGAATTATTAAAAGATGATTAAAAGAGAAGAAAGACATTTCGTGGCTGAAAAACTGAACCAGCAATTCAGGAAATGGAATTCATATTTAGAAACGTACCATATACAAAAGCCGAAGTGGGTGGTTTGCATATGATTAAGGAATGCTAATTTGCAGTAAATTGTGTCCTTAAGGAGGGTATACACATTAGTTGTACTTATTATACGTCAGTTTGACGTAGGTACTGATTTGTTGCATGTGCTCAAGTGTTCTATGCTCACCCCCACTTTTGGAGTACCAGAGTGTCATTCTTAATTGGCTTTTAGGTATCACCACCTTACTCTTGACTGGAAATGCAACTGTGGTTACTACCTGTGCTGCAGGTCCGTCCTGGTTCCCTGATTTGTGTTTCCTGTTCTGCCTGGATCCTGATTCTCAGAAACCAGTTACTGGACTTCTGATCCACATCCTGATCCTTCCACTGTGACCCTCAGACTCTTAATTATGCCCCACCAGGTCGTGCCACTGCCCCACTAGTCCATCTGATCTGTCCCCATCCTAGGATATCCTGAGTCTAAGCCCTGGTTTCTGCCGATGGCAAACAGGAAGATTTTATTATTAACAGCCTTTATTATTATTATTATTATTATTACTGGTTATTTGGTTTGACAAGGCACTTAGGCTCCCTGAGCTTTGCCTTAGCTGGAAAATAAGGATAGTAATGCTTCCTGTTCTATCAACCGTATAAGATATTTGTGGCCATGCGCGGTAGCGCAGCCTGTAATTCCACTTTGGGAGGCCAACGGGAGGGGCAGGGGGTAGGATCGCTTGAACCCAGGAGCAGGAGTTCCAGCCTGAGCAACATAGCGGGACCCCCTATCTCTTCAAAATTTGTTTTTAAATTAGCAGGGCGTGGTGGCGCAGGCTTTGTAGTCCCAGCTACTCTGGAGGCCGAGGCCCAGGAGGACGAGGTTGCAGGGAGCCCTGATCACGCCACTGCACTCCAGCCTGGGTGACAGAGCGAGACCTTGGCTCAAAAAAAGTCTGTGAGGTTCAAAGGTTGTGTGTGTGAAAATATCTTGGAAATTGTAAAGAACTACACAAATACAAGGTTTTCCTGTGATTATCACCGTTATCAAGATTAACCTAGAGATAGTGCAAAATTTAAGCTTCCCAAAAAATGTTCGCTAACCTTTCTCGTACCTTTAGACCATTACAGGATATAAATAGCAAAGTCAACTGGAATTGTAATTAGAGCTTCGATTTTTCTTGGGCTAGAGGATTTTTCTGCCATTCTGATGAACCCTAGAGGAAGGGAGCAAAGTCGGTGCGGTTTGGCCGAGGGGCGGGGTGAGGACCGCGCAGGCTCAGCTTCTCGGCTGGAAGAGGAAGTCGCGAGTGCAGGCGTCTGCGGCCCCCATGGTGACCAGACGGACTTCCGTCGTACCCGCCCACCTCTACCTGCCCCTAACCCCGCGAGGCGCACCATGGCAACGATACTTCTGCGTCGCGGAAGCGGGTCCCGCAGGTCGCCACGGTTGGGGGAAACGCGGCGGACGCCGCCCCCATCCCGAAGGGGACTCGAAAATGTACAGCCAGCGGTTTGGCATCGTCCAGCGGGAGGTTAAGGGCCCTACCCCCAAAGTGGTGATCATGGTAAGCACAGGATGTGTCTGCCGGACCCTTCAGCTTTCTCCATCTCTGCGCTCTCCAGGCCTGGCCGATCCCATTTCGGCCCCCCACCCGGGGCCTTCTCAAGGGGAACGGGTGCCGCCTAATGTAGTGGGTTGAATTTTGAAAGAAGGAAGATAAGGTCACTCACCTATTTACCCCACCTTTCACCCACTCATCCCCCTCTATTTTCATCCTTACAGCCTTTCATCTGCCCCCAAAGTTATAGTATTTAGGTTCTGTTTTTGGAGAATCACCACTAGGGATCTTAGGGTTTTTCAGTCTCCAAGACACCGGAAGGATGTCTGTACCCCATGCAGTGGCGAGTGTGTGTTATGGAAAGAGCACCCAGCCCAGAGACAGATCTGGGGGCAGGGCTGGCCTATGATTTGGAGCTGGTCTTTCACTCCTAGGAAAATCGTCTGGGGAAGGGGAATTAGGTTGTGAGTGGTTATAGCACCCAACGCCTTTCCTGTGCGAACTCAACCAGTAACCATTGCTGGACTGAAGTGTCCCTTCAGACCTGGGAAAAACACAGGTGCCTGCCTCTAAGGCTGGAATGGTGGTAGTAGGGCAGGGAAATATGCTTACTGCAGAATTTGATAGTTCCTGCTGAGAACCTCAGACACTATTGGTCCATACATGTAGATTCCTTCATTTCTACAAACTAGTTTCTACCCGCCAGAAAACTGCCATGTAGGCAGAATTATTGCTTGAGCCCCTGCTGTGTACGCAGTATTGTGGGAGATACAGGGGTGAATACAATGATCCTGGAAGGTTAATCCTTTACTGAAGCCTGAGCCCTCCCTTCAAGGAGCTTATACAGGTTAAGTATCCCTTATCTGAAATGCTTGGAACCAGAGATGTCTAGAATTTCAGATTTCTTTTGGATTTTGGAAAACTTGCATATACATAATGTAATATCTTGGGGAGGAGACCCAAGTCTAAACACTGAATTTATCTATATTTCATTACCTCGAAGGTAATTTTATTTTCCCCTTGGGGATGCTGAATAAATATGTGTCGTTTTGACTGTGACCCCTTACATGAGGTCAGGTGTGAAATTTTCCACTTATGCCATCATGTGGGTGCTCAAAAAGCTTCAGATTTTGGAGCATTTCAGATTTCTTATTTTCAAATTAGGGGTGCTCAACTTGTAATCCAATTGCAAAAAAAATTATGTATAATGAAACCACTAAAGGTTAACACGGTAAATAATGATGTGCTATATTGTCTGTGGTGTCACTTTATGGAAGAAAGATCAGTGATACAGTTGTATTATGCTCCACAGTGCACAGAGCAAACTTCAGTCAACCTATAGACCTGCTCCTTCTTTAGGTCTGAGTACTGCAAGATCTGGAGCTGGAAAGCAGTAGATGGGACACGTTAGTAGGCTGTAGGGTTCAAGGTGATAATTATAAACACACTTCATGAAGGACAGAAGATCTACTTTGGGTTCTGTATCCAAACACAGGGCTCAGGGGCTGAGCCATTGTTGGGTGCTATTACTTGTGTTGGGAACCAATAAGGAACGAAAAACAAACAAAATCACTAAACCAGAGAAGCAGGCCTGTTGAATACTTTGCACTTAAGAAGAATTAAGAGGAAAAGGAAGAGGTTAGAGTTGGTGCATCTGCTCCTCCAGTGTCTGAGTGTGATAAGAAAGATAGATGTTAGAGGTAGCAGAACTGTGTTGCAAGAATTAAATCCACCAACAGATGAGAATTGGGCCCTAAACAATTCCCCAGGAGAAACATATGAAAAATGTAATGTCTGAAGTAATGGGACATCAAAAGGAGCAGCTATTTGATGAGTGCCTCCTAGGAATCCATTAGGAGGATACTTGTTTTGCTCATTTGACAGGTGAGAAAACTAAGATTCAAAGAGATTAAGTAACTTGCTCAATTCAGTTAGTAATGGACAGAGGCCAGAATCAAACCTAGGATGTAAAGCATTGTTCTTTAAGACAACCAAACTGTAAATTATAATCCTAATAACTATAATTTGAGATGCTACAGTAACAAAAAGCCTTCAGTGACCTTGAAAACCCAAAGTAGTTAGTAAAATATCCTGTGTTTTCCTGACTTTAGCATGGTTTAGAGCTGTGATGTCCAATAGGTAGCCACTAGTCACATATAGCATTTGAGCACTTGAAGTGTGCCTAGAGTCACATATTGACAAGATAATATTTTGGATATATTGGTTAAATAAAATATACTATCAAAATTAACTTACCCTGTTTCTTTTTACTTCTTTAAATGCAGCCACTTGAAAATTGAGAATTACATATCTGTTTTGCATTATATTTATATTGAACAGTACAGATTTTGAACAATGCCACGACTGTGCCGGGATTGGCATCACCTTTTTTGAGAACTCCAGGTCATACCCCTAACTTATCAAGAGATTGGGTCCTTCCCAGACCGGAGTCCTTCACATGATTCCCAAGCCTTAAAAGGCTTCCTGACCGCATGGGTACTGCTCATGGTGTTTCTCACCTCTTCAACCAAAATATACCTCAGCCCTGTTTCCTGTCCTGACAGCTGGAGCCAGTGTTTCTAGATAATCTTGGTGTTTCATTCCTGTTCTCAGCCCACACTGGGAGCCTTAATTCCTGCTGTGTATGGTGCCCAGGGTGCCACTGTGATCCTCCTTTGCTTCATTTTCACAGATCTATATTAATAAAATGCCATCAGTATTGGAGAACAGTCATCTAATTAACTGGCTGTAGGCTCCAAATAATTCTGACATGGATTAGCTACTTTCCGTGATATAACCCCCAACATCATCTTCTGTCTCCTTACCACCCCAGGCTTGCCTTATCTTGTTCAGCTAAATCTAGGTACCTCATGCCTACCCTGAGCCCTGAATCTTTTCATTAAACCGTCTTCAAGTGTTGATTTTCTTTCCTCAGGAGACTTCATTACAAACACGTAACCCTAGTATTTCTGGTAATCCTGATGGTGATATTCTAAATGTAAATGATCAGATTGACTCTCTCTCTGCCTCTTAAGAGTTTTGTTTCTATGAATCAGCACCCCAGTGTCTCACAACTCACCTAAGGATGACTTGATAAAACTGTTCCTGAAAATACAAAGCTCAAGACTATGGATTTCGTGGTGGCTCCAGGAGGTGCAGAAATTGCATCAAGCCCACACAGCAACATTGTTTCATTCATTCATTCATTCATTCATTCATTCATTCATTCATTCATTCATTCCTGTTGAGAACCTCACTGTAGTAGGCATTATGTTCAATGCTAGGAATACAGAAAGGAAAAAGATATAGTCTCTGTGATTTCATTAAGTGCATCTATATATATTCAAATGGCACATGCATTTCTAACTTTTTTAGTGGACATTTCTGTAAAAACAATACATTTACAGAAATTCAAAGTAGCCCAAAAGGTCAGGAACACACTGTTTGCATTAAAACTTCTGGGCACCCTAGAGATAGGAATAAAGTTCTACCGCCAGCTTTTTTTCTTTTCCCTTCTTTCTTCCTCCCTCACTTCATTTCTTCCTTCTTAGTAAAAGATCTTTTATTGTCACAACTCATTATATATCCATATACATATACACACATATATAAACACATATATACATGTATATACACATATATCTTATATATTCACATAATAGCATCTTTTCATTGAAAGTATTTTGATGTGATAACTATGGTGTCTGACCAGGAGAAATAATGTGGAATAATGGGTGGCTATGTCAAGGTCAGGAATTAGAAGACCTCTAATTCTTGTTTTATCTGTCCTATTTGAAGCAAATTCAGCAAATCACTTAATGTCTCTGGGTTTGACTAGATAATCTCAACAGAGTCCTGTTCACATTTTTAACTTTGTAATTTCCATCAACTTTTTTCCAAATGGCACTTTAGAAATATTTGAGACTGTTTTGATGACATCTTAGGTATAGGCTCAGAGAATGAAACAAGTTACTCTTTAGGTGCATAAGCTGTATTCAGTTGTAGTAGGATGTATTAGTTTTTTATATCCAATTTTATTTAGTATGAGTATTGATTGAGAGCATAACTAATTGAAAATATGCAGTTGATTCTTTGGCTTATTATAAGTGAGAGTTGGTTTTTGTTTTCAGAGACCCAAGCCTCCTAAAGGCCAAGGGGCTGAGCACCATCTAGAAAGAATCCAACGCAGCCATCAGAAGCATAATGCTATTTTGGCTTCCATTAAGTCAAATGAGCGGGATCGCTTGAAAGTTGAGTGGGACCAGCACAATGACTGCAAGTTTTTGGACAGCCTTGTGCGAGCAAGAATCAAGGATGCTGTGCAAGGGTTTATCATTAACATTGAAGAAAGACGAAATAAGTAAGGCTCACAAACCTGGGACCCAAACCATGAAATATTCCTAAAACCACAATTTGAGATTGACCAGTCAAAAATCAAATTTAGGGAGGATCATGGCTGAGATATATTAAATCCATAGCTATTGGTTAATATTTTTAATATTTTTCTTGTGGTAACCTATGTTTTGATGAAAAACAATATATTGTTTCATGTTTCATTATTTTGATTGAAACCTGTTGATTTTACTCTTTTGTTAAAAATATATATTTCATATCTTATTTTTATGTGACCAAATAAAATATGGTGCAGTTGGTTGGGCTTAGTGGGTCATGCGTATAATCCTACCACTTTGGGAGGCTGAGGGGGGAGGATTGTTTGAGCCCAGGAGTTTGAGACCGGCCTGGGCAACACAGTGAGACCCCATCTCTACAAAAAAATTTAAAAATAGCTGGGCATAGGGGCCTCTGGCTGTAGTCCCAGCTGTTCAGGAGGCTGAGGTGGGAGGATCACCTGAGCCCAGGAGGTCAAGGCTGCAGTGAGCCATGATCACAGTGCACTCTAGCCTGAGTGACAGAGCGAGACCCTGTCTCAAAACAAAACAAAACAAACCAACTAGTCTTATTTTATGGAAGACTGCAATGATCTTTCTCTTCTTACAAATTAGACCTATAATTCTGAAATTGAATATAACAAAAATCAATAAAATTTTGCATGTAGCATGACAGTTTTTTTTTGTTTTGTTTTGTTTTTTTTTTGGCTTTTTGTTTCAGGCTACGTGAACTTTTAGCATTAGAAGAAAATGAGTATTTTACAGAAATGCAATTGAAGAAAGAAACCATTGAGGAGAAAAGAGATAGGATGAGAGAGAAAACTAAATTACTAAAAGAGAAGAATGAAAAAGAGAGGCAGGATTTTGTGGCTGAAAAGCTAGACCAGCAATTCAGGTAATGAAATCAGAAAACACACAAACAGAATCCAAAGTTGCTACTTTAAAATGGATTTGAGAATGCTAATTTAAAGTAAATTAGTCTTAAGAGGATATACACAGTAGTAACTTTAAGTCTTGGCAGTATATTACATATCATTGAATAATACAATGTGTGCTTGAGAACTATGTTCTAATGTTCTGTGCTTGCTTCTCAATTAGAATGGAAGTAACAAAGGAGATTATGTTACTGAACTTTAGGTATTAACCTCACCCTTGCTGTTGGCAGGAAGTTCTTCAAAAGCTCCTATGCCAAGAAATCTTTGGTAAAGTTGGGCTCTCCCCCTACTGCTATAGTCTCTACCTGTGTGTGCTTGGGTTCCCTGGGGGGTTTTTTTTGGTTGTCGTTTTTGAGACAGGGTCTTGCTCTGTCACCCAGGCTGGAGTGCAGTGGCATGATCATGACTACAACCTCCAACTCCTGAGCCTGAAGTGATCCTCCCACCTCAGCTTCCCAAGTAGCTGGGACTACAGGCATGCACCACCTTGCCCAGCTAATTTTTTGTATTTTTTGTAGAGATGGGGATTTCATCATGTTGCGCAGGGTGGTCTTGAACTCCTGGACTCAAGTGATCCACTTACCTCAGCCACCCAAAGTATTGGGATTACAGGCATGAGCCACCATGCCCGGCTCTCTCTCCTCTCTTCTTTATTGTCTGTTTCCTTGCCTGGTATTCTGATCACTGGGGTCTGATCACCTGGGTTTATAAGGCACTTCCTGACCCAGACCCATGGTGACCCTCAGTTTTTAGATCCCTGGTCTTTACTGTACTCAATCTGGTCCTGTGGTTGCCTCCATATCCCTTTTCATTGTGGTTTTCCATCGTCGGATACTCTTGAGTCTATGTCCTGATAGACTACCCACTACTGTGCACTTACAGAGGGAAGATTTGTATGGGAATGCCCAAGAGTGATCCTCTGAGATGATCTATAGTGTTATATAATTAGAAGCTTAGCAGGTTCTTTTAATATCACAAACCAAGACATTTCTTACCTCTAAAGCAAAAATATACTAAAAAGTCTCCCTCCCTAAAGCTACAGCTCTTAGAGCAAGAGCTATTATATATTTATAATGTTATTATAATTCCTCAGTTATATTTTTAGTGCTTCTGATACTTCTAAGAGTCCGAACATTAAGAATTGCTGTTATTTGGCTAAGCACAGTAGCTCACACCTATAATCCCAGCACTTTGATCACTTGAGGCCAGGAGTTTGAGACCAGCCTGGGCAACATAGTGGGACCTTATTTCTACAAAAAAATAAAAAAAATGGCTAGGCGCGGTGGCTGACATCTGTAATCCCAGCACTTTGGGAGGCTGAGGTAGGCAGATTACCTGAGGTCAGGAGTCCAAGACCAGCCTGGCCAACATGGTAAAACCCTGTCTCTACTAAAAATACAAAAATTAGATGGGCATGGTGGCACACGCCTGTAATCCCAGCTACTCGGGAGGCTGATGCGGGAGAATTGCTTAAGCCCAAGAGGCAGAGGTTGCAGTGAGCCGAGATGGTGCCACTGCACTCCAGTCTGGCCAACAGAGTGACACTCTGTCAAAAAAAAAATATATATATATATAAAATATATAAGCATATATATTAATATATATATTTTTTCCAATTCCAAACATATTTTTTATATATATATATAAATTCGCTGGGCATGGTAGCACATGCCTCTAGTCCTAGCTACTCGGGAGGCTGAGATAGCAGGATCAGTTGAGCCCAGGAGTTCGAGGTTACAGTGAGCTGCAACTGCAGCACTGGACTCTAGCCTGGGCAACAGACTGAGACCCTGTCACTAAAAAAAAAAATTGCCATTATACTTCTCGGGATATTTTGTTCATTTTGCCCCTTTATTCTTTTCTTTTTTAAAATTGTTGTGGGTAGATAGTAGCTGTGTATATTTATGGAACACATGAGATGTTTTGATACAGGCATGCAATGTAAAATAAGCACATCATGGAGAATGGGGTAGCCATCTCCTCAAGCATTTGTCTTTTGAGTTACAAATAATCCAGTTATACTCTTTAAGTTATTTTAAAATGTACAATTAAGTTATTATTGACTATAGTCTTCCTGTTGTGCTATCAAATAGTAGGTCTTATCCATTTATTCTTTTTTTTTTTTTTTGGTACCCATTAACTGTCCCCACCTCCACCCCCAACCCCCCACTATCCTTCCCAGCCTCTGGTAACCATCCTTCTCTATCTCCATGAGTTCAATTGTTTTGATTTTTAAATCCCACAAATTAGTGAGAACATGCAATGTTTGTCTTTCTGTGCCTGGCTTATTTCACTTAACATAATGACCTGCAGTTCCATCCATGGTGTTATAAATGACTGGATTTCATTCTTTGTTATAGCTGAATAGTACTCCATTGTGTATGTGTACCACATTTTCTTTATCCAGTCATCTGCTGATGGACACTTAGGTAGCTTCCAAATCTTAGCTGTTGTAAACAGCACTACAACAAACATAGGAGTGCAGCTATCTCTTCAATATACTGATTTCCTTTCTTTTGGACCTATACCCAGCAGTGGGATTGCTGGATCTTATGGTAGCTCTATTTTTAGTTTTTTGAGGAACCTCCAAACTGTTCTCCATAGTGGTTGTATTACATTCCCACAAGCAGTGTACAAGGGTTCCCTTTTCTCCACATACTCACCAGGATTTGTTATATCTTTTGGATATAAGCCATTTTAACTGGGGTGAAATGATATCTCACTGTAGTTTTGATCTGCATTTCTCTGATGATTCGTGATGTTGGGCACCTTTTCATATGCGTGTTTGCCATTTGTATGTCTTCTTTTGAGAAATGTCTGTTGAAATCTTTTGCCCATTTTTTGATTGGATTATTGGATTTTTTCTTATAGAGTTGTTTGAGCTCCTTATATATTCTGGTTATTAATCTCTTTTCAGAGGGATAGTTTGCAAATATTTTCTCCCATTTTGTGGGTTTTCTCTTCACTTTGTTGATTGTATCTTTTGCTGTGCAGAAGCTTTTTAACTTGTTATGATCCCATTTGTCCATTTTTGCTTTGGTTGTCTGTGCTTGTAGGGTATTGCTCAAGAAATCTTTGCCCAGACCAATGTCCTAGAGATTTTTCCCCAGTGTTTTCTTGTAGTAGTTTCATAGTTTGAGGTCTTAAATTTAAGTCTTGGATCTATTTTGATTTGATTTTTGTATATGATGAAAGATAGGGTCTATTTTCATTCTTTTGCATATGGATATCCAGTTTTCCCAGCATCATATATTGAAGAGACTGTCTTTTCCCCAGTGTATGTTCTTGGCTCCTTTGTCAAAAATGAGTTCACTGTAAGTGTGTAGATTTGTTTCTGGGCTCTCTATTCTTTTTCATTGGTTTAAGTGTCTGTTTTTATGCCAGTACCATGCTGTTTGAGGTACTATAGCTCTGTAGTATAATTTGAAGTCAGGTAATGTCATTCCTCCAGATTTGTTATTTTTGCTTAGAATAGCTTTGGCTATTCTGGATCTTTTGTGGTTCCATACAAATTTTAGGATTATTTTTTCTTTTCTTTTTGTCTTTTCTTATTTTATTTTATTTCATTTTATTTTGAGACAGGGTCTCACTCGGTTGTCCAGGCTAGAGTGCATGTTGCCCAGGCTGGAATGCACTTACAGGATCTCAGCTCACTGCAACTCTGCCTCCCAGGTTAGGTTCAAGCAGTTCTCCTGCCTCAGCCTCCCAAGTAGCTAGGACCACAGATGTGTAATGCCACACTCAGCTAATTTTTGTATTTTTAATAGAGACGGGATTTCCCCATGTTGCCCAGGCTGGTCTCGAACTCCTAGTCTCAAGTGATCCACCCACCTTGGCCTCCCAAAGTGCAGGGATTACAGGCATGAGCAACTGTTTTTTCTATTTCTGTGAAGAATGTTTTTGGTATTTTGATAGGGATTGCATTTTGTCTGTAGATTGCTTTGGACAGTATAGACATTTTAATAATATTGATTCTTCCAATCCAAGAACATGGAATACTTCTCAATTTTTTGGTGTCCTCTTCTATTTCTTTCATCAGTGTTTTATGGTTTTCATTGTAGAGATCTTTCACTTCTTTGGTTAATTCCTAGGTATTTAATTTTATTTGTGGCTTTTGTAAATGTGATTACTTTTTAAATTTCTTTTTCACTTTGTTCACTGTAAGCATATAGAAATGCTATTGATTTTTGTATGTTGATATTGTATCCTGCAACTTTACTGAATTTGTTTAGCAGTTCTAAGAGTTTTCTTGTGGAGTCTAGATTTTTCCAAATATAAGATTATGTCATCTGCAAACAAGGATAATTTGACTTCTTACTTTGCAATTTGGATGTCCATTATATCTTTCTCTTGTCTGATTGCTCTAGCTAGGACTTCCAGTGCTATGTTGAATAATAGTAGTGATGGTGCATTTTGCCCCTTTTTTTCAGACACATCTCTCAGTGCAGTGATGATCACATGATATGACCCATGGAATGCCCTAAATCATCGATTTCATCTGTCTTTTAATTTTAGAGTAACTGGCTAGGGTTTTTATATTCAGAAGGGATTTTTAAAGTCCAAATATTACTTGGAAGTGTTTAAAACATAGCCATTAGCATTTATTCATTCAGTAAATATGTTTGGGCTCCTACTTTATGCCAGGCTCTGTGACAGTGAGTGTCACTTAGTTTGTTAGGTCATCTAGTATGAATGGGGCAGGGTGTCTGTCATGTTAAGCCAGATTCAAGAATGGATGATCCAAAAATACCTGAGTTTAAATCTGGTGGAATACAGAAGGAATAGAAGAGTTCATTTTTCATAGCACTCAAAATTTGAGTAGACCGGAAATCCAAAGGTCAACAGATGGGAAAAGGAAAAAAATGAAGTCTGTGGAGGCGATCAAGACATGGTGCAGAGAAAAGCTTCTTCCATCTGCTCTTTCTGCCATGAATTCGCTATTAATAATGTGGACAGCCCTAAACCCTCAACCCTCCTACTAGAGGCCAGAAGGAAAAGTAAGCCATTGCAGTGAGTAGTGGATACAAGTTGCAGATGCAGCCGCTAAAAGTAAATTCAGACTGCTAAAAGGAGAGAGAATTGGAAGGTTCAGGGCTTGGGGAGCTGCTGAAGGAGGGCAGTGAAGAAACCCAGGGTGGTAATGCACAGGGCCAGAAGCAACTTGCCACCCTACTTGGCTTGTAGATGGATAACTGAGTTCTACAGGTAGGGATTTGTCTAGGTCTTAAGCTTGAGGTGACCAAAAGAGGATTAGACTTGGATTTTCAAGCCTGTGTAAAGCATGCATTCATACCCTGTCCTCAGTGGGATTTGGACATCTTTGCTACTGGTTGCTGGGGGGAAAAGATGCTGTGAGTGGAAAATGGTATATTAGCCAAGTGACTTTCAATGGACCATTCATATATTTTCTACTCCCTAGTAAATTTCTCTTAATACAGTAAGAAAACCAAATGGTTCATAAGTGGTTATGCTTTTAAAATGTATGGATTTAGCAGCATTTTACAGATTTTACTTGTATAACTGAGTTTTTGCTAGTTAGATGAATTGTTAAAATTTTTAAAGAAACAAATGTATCCTATAGTGATGTAATTTGAAAACAAATTGTTTTTAATGTTTTGAATGCAACACTGCCAACTCCTCAACATAGATTAGCAAACATCCTTTTGAGTAAGGATGTGTTATTAGACCCTATTACTGAAAATACAGTTGAGGCTTTAATACGTATATTAACATAAAGCAGAATGAAAATTTTCCTCTTCTTTTTCTTGTGCTTTTTTTTTTTGTATTCCATTGTGTAAATATACCACAATTTATTTGTTTTCCTGGTGACAGTCATTTCAGTTATTTTCAGTTTGGGACTCTTACGAATAAAGCTATGATGAATAGACATGTCCTTTTATGGCATATGCATTCATTTCTCTTTGATATATTCAGTGGTATTCGTAGAATATTTGATACCTGGAGTAGATAATTTTTAGTGATCCCTATTATACAGTGAAATTGTTTTCAGCAATAGTAATGAAATGAAATGGATAATAATGACAAAAAATTACCAGTGGTTTTGTTTTGTTTTTAATTTTTAATTTTAAATAATTATATGTTTACAGAAAGTGCACAGATAGTACAGAGATTCCATTTACCTTTCACCTAGCTTCCCCCAATGGTTCTATCTTACATAATCGTAATACAATATTAAAACAAGGAAATTGACAGTCGTGCAAGGTGTGTGTATAATTCTGTGCCATTTTATCACCTGTAGATCTGTGTAACCACCACTACAATCAAGATACAGAACTATTCCATCACTGCAAAAATCTCCTTCATGTTATCCTTCTAGAGTCATGCTCACTACTCTCACCCCTATCCCCCATCATTCCTAACCCTGGCAACAACTAATCTCTATCCCCATAATTTCATCATTTTAAGAATGTTATATAAATGGAATCACACAATATGCGATCTTTAGAGATTGGCCTTTTTCACTCAACATAATGCCTTTGAGGTCCATCCAAGTTGTTGGAGGTATTGCTAGTTTGTCCTTTTTATTGCTGAGTAATATTCCATTGCATGAATGTACCTCAGTTTGGTTAAACCATTCACTTACGGAAGGACATTTTGGTTGTTTCTAGTTTTGCTCTATTATAAGTAAATTTGACAGGAACGTTTGTGTACAGGTTTTTGTGTGAGCATATGTTTTCATTTATTGAGGATAATTATCATATACTATTGCTGGATTATATGCAAATTTTGTTTTGTTTTGTTTGAGACAGAGTTTCACTCTTGTTGCCCGGGCTGGAGTGAAATGGCGTGATCTCAGCTCACTGCAGCCTCTGCCTCCTGGGTTTAAGCAATTCTGCTATCTCAGCCTCCCGAGTAGCTTGGATTACAGGCATGCACCACCAAGCCCGGCTAAATTTTTGTATTTTTAGTGGACGTGTGAGTTCTCCATGTTGATCAGGCTGGTCTCGAACTCCCAACCTCAGGTGATCCGTCCGCCTCAGCCTCCCAAAGTGCTGAGATTACAGGCGTGAGCCACAACTGCCAGCCGTAAATGTATTTTTTTTTTTTTTAAATAAACACTAAACTATTTTCTAGAGTAGCCGTACCATTTTATAGTCCTACCAGCAGTATATGAGACATCCAATTTTTCCACATCCTGGTCCTTTTGGTGGTGGCGTTATTGTTTTTTTTGTTTTGTTTTGTTTTTGTTTTTAGCTGTTCTAACGAGTGTGCTGTGATATCTCATCATGGGCTTAACTGGTATTTACCTAATGGCTGGTGATGTTTAGCAACTTTTCATGTGCTTATTTTCCATCTGTACATTTTCTTTGGTGAAATGTTTCTTTATATCTTTTGCCCATTTTCTAATTAGATTTTTAGAATTTAGATTGTTTTAGCTGTTAAGTTTTTACCTTTTCTTTTAGCTGTTAAGTTTTGAGAATTCTTCATGTATTCTAGATAGAACTTCTTTGTCCGATATGTGGTTTTTTCCCCTAAACTATAGCTTATCTTTTTTTTTCATGTTTTAAATGGTTTTTTTCTTTTTTTCCCCAGTCATTCAGCAGTCCTGTCTTATTTGTCCTATTAAAAGGATCTTTTACAGGGCAAAATTTTTTAATATTAATGAAATCAAATTTATCAATATTTCTTTTATGGATTGTACTTTTGGTACATTATGAAATTTCTTTTTAAATGCCCTGTAATTATACACAGTTAATGATTAGACCTCAGATTAAGGTAGGCATTTCGGGGGTTTGTTTTGGGGTGCTTTTATTAACGAATAACCTAGGATATTTGGTCAGAATGACTGTGGATCAGAGGTAGTCTTGCCTCTGTCAGTTGCTGGCAGAGGTGATACAATGAAGCACCAAGGAATCCAAACTCCAGGGCCACACTGCCAGCTCTTCAGTCCCAGTTCTACCACATATGAAATGGACAAACTTGGGTAAGATGCTTAACTGCTGTGTGCTTCCATTTCCTCATCTGTAAACCAAGGGTAATAAAAATAATAAAAACGAACTTGCAGTAATGTTCATTGCCATATTGATTGTTATGAAGATTACAAGAGTTCATATGTGTTGAAGTGCTTAGAATAGTGTCTGGAAGATAATAAGCACTTAATAACTTTTGCTAATAATATTCCTACTACTGGCTATGTGACTTGGGAAGACACTTAGGCTCCCTGAGTCTCCGTTGCTTTAACTCTAAGATGCGGATGATAGCTGCTATCTGTAAACTATAAAGCAGTCATAAACATAAAGTCTTCCTCTTGTCAATGATTGTTATCATTAGAATAAATAGATATTCTATCATTCAATTTATTTTTTTTAGAGACAGGGTCTTACTGACCTAGAGTGCAGGCTAGAATGCATTGGTATGGTCCTAGCTCACCACAGCCTCAAACTCCTGAGTTTGAGTGGTCTTCTTGCCTCAGTCTCCCAAGTAGCTAGGACTACAGGTGTGTGCCACCATGCCCAGCTAATTTTTAAAAAATTTTTGTAGAGACAAGGTCTCACTGTGTTGCCCAGGCTAGTGCTAGTCTCCAGGGATCCTCCTGCCTTGGCCTCCCAAAGTGTTGGGATTACAGATATGAGTCACCATGCCTGGCCAGATATCCTGTGTATATATAGTGAGCATCTCAGCCTGGTGTGGTGGCTTATGCCTGTAATCCCAGCGCTTTGGAAGGCTGAGGCAGGAGAATCACTTCAGGCTAGGAGTTTGAGACTAGCCCTGGCAACATAACGAGACCCTGTCTCTACAAAAAAAATTTTTTTTAATTAGCCAGACATGTTGACATGTGATTATAGTCTCCGCTACTTGGGAGGCTAAGGTGGGAGGATCACTTGAGGCCAGGAGTTCAAGGATACAATGAGCCATGATCACACCACTGCATTCTAGCCTGGGCGACAGAGTGATACCTTGTCTCTTAAAAAAAAAAGTGAGCAGCCAGGCATGGTGGCTCACACCTGTAATCCCAGCACTTTGGGAGGCCGAGGCGGGCAGATCACAATGTCAGGAGATCAGGACCATCCTGGCTAACAAGGTGAAACCCCGTCTGTACTAAAAATCCAAAAAAATTAGCCAGGCATGGTGGTGGGCGCCTGTAGTCCCAGCTACTCAGAAGGCTGAGGCAGGAGAATGGCATGAACCTGAGAGGCAGAGCTTGCAGCGAGCCAAGATGGTGCCACTACACTCCAACCTGGGCAATAGAGTGAGACTCTGTCTCAAAAAAAAAAAAAAAAAAAAAAGAATGTGAGCATCCCTAAAGTAGAGGTTCTCAAAGTCAAGTGAATAGGTCAATCATTGGGGTTAACAGGTTGAGTTTTTGATCCAAGGTCACACAGGAAACGGAGTCAGGGCTGCCTTTGCTTGACTCCAGTTTCCATAGTCAGACTGTGCCATCCTGGTGCTTGCCTCCCTTCTGCTCCCTCATGTTTCCTGTGCTCCGATGGCCTGCATCCAGGTCTTTGATTTTTTCTTGCTTCATTGTGTGACTGTACAGATGTGTGCTTCAATAGAGCAGTGCCTCATGAAAGGCTGTGTTTTGTCTTTTTAAAATTTTCCTTTCAGGGAACGCTGTGAGGAGCTCCGTGTTGAATTGTTTTGTATCCATCAGAAGAAGGTGTGTGAGGAGCGGAAAGCACAGATTGCATTTAATGAGGAGCTGAGGAGGCAAAAGCTGGTGGAAGAGCAGATGTTCTCCAAGCTCTGGGAGGAAGACCGATTAGCCAAGGAAAAGCGAGAAGCCCAAGAGGCGAGGAGACAGAAAGAGCTGATGGAGAACACACGCCTGGGGCTGAATGCCCAGATCACCAGCATCAAGGCACAAAGGCAGGCAGCACAGCTGCTGAAGGAAGAGGAGGCGCGCCTCGTGGTGGGCCTTTAAAATGCTTGTTAGAGGGTGATCAACGCCATGGGTATAGCACAGTTTGCAGGCCTGTTACTGTACAGTTTGTCTGATGGCCTGGGCTAGTTCACAGGCACATTTCCAATTTTGGACTCTCAGTGCTGTTTAATAATGTATCCAAATGTATGGTACAGAGTCACATGTGGAAGGCCAGCACACCCACAGGCAGCGAATGGTGGTAGACGATGGGTACTGGGATTAAAAGTGGTTTCCCTTTATACTTTCCTGTTTTCAACTCTACAACGATTTATTACATTATAATCACACATACCCCGGCAATTTTCACAGTTTTATTGCTGATTAACTATGAAAAGGCAAGTTTTCTTTCTTATAGCCTCTCTAAATCCAGGTGTGTGTGTATTTCCAGAAATCCTTTATTCCTGTCTCCTAAATCAAATGCACTAACTTGTCTTGGTCCAACTGTACTGATGCATTATCTTTATTATGATTCTACTTTAGGAAAGTAACAACGCACAGATTAAACATGAGAATGAACAGGATAAGCTAAAGAAACAGAAGGCAAAGCAAGAAACTAGGACCATTTTGCAAAAAGCCCTACAGGACAGGATAGAACATATTCAGCAGGACTACAGAGAAGAACAGGACTTGAACATGAAGCTCGTGCAAAGGGCCCTTCAAGACTTACAGGAAGAGGCAGATAAAAAGAAACAAAAAAGAGTAAGACTTTTTTTTTCATGCCTGCTACCTGCTGGAAGGGATTTGTGAGTTCTCAGTCTTTTGGAAGACGGCTACAAATATATAACAGTGCTACTCTGGGTGTGGTCCACGAGCCAACAGCATCAGCACCATCTGGGAAAATGTTAGAAACAGAAATTCACAGGCTCCAGAATCAGGATCTCCCAATCAAAATCATGACAGGGACAGGAAATCTGTGTTTCAGCACACTCCCCCAGGTGATTCTGATGCTAACTAATGTTTGAGAACTCCTGGAATTTGAGGAAGACATCACTGAGAAAGTGACATTTGAGTTGAACCTTAAAGGATATGTGAAGTTTGGTCAGGCAAAAAGAGTAGGGAAAGGCATTCAGTATTGATTTAGCTACCTGTACCTTTGGAATTTGGATTGAACTTTTAAGAGTGTTTTGTTTCTCCCACAGGTGCTTTTTCTTGTTTTTACCTGGTTCTTAGTGTGCATGTGCTTTGTTTTTTAATTAAACTTCTCTCTCTCTCGCTCTCTTTTTTTTTTTTTTTTTTTTTTTTTGAGACAGAGTCTCACTCTGTAACCCAGGCTGGAGTGCAGTGGCATAATCATGGTTCACTGTAGCCTCGCCCTCCTGGGCTCAAGCAATCCTCCCACCTCAGCCTCCCGAGTAGCTGAGACTACAGACACCCACCACCTAGCCTGGCTAATTTATGTATTTTTTGTAGAGACAGCGTTTTGCCAAGTTGCCCAGGCTGGTCTGGAGTGAGCTCAAGTGAACCTCCCACCTTGGCCTCCTAAAGTGCTGGGATTACAGGTGTGAACCACTGTGCCTGGATAAACTTCATTTTGATATGATTGTAGATTCATATGCAGTTTTAAGAAATAATACAGAGAGATTCCTTGTACCCATTACTCTGGTTCCCTCAATGGTAATATCTTGCAAAACTAGAGTACCATGCCAGTCAGGATGTTGACATTGATATAATCAAGATACTGAACATCTCATCACCACCAGGATTTCTCATATTGACCTTTTATAGTCACACCCACTTCCCTTTTGCCCCACCCCCTTCTTAACCCTGTTCTTCATTTCTATAATTTTATTATTTTGGGAATGTTATATTAGTAGAATCATATAGTATGTAATCTTTTCAGATAGTCTTTTTCACTTAGCATAACCCTCAGGAGATTTGTCCAACTTTTTGGATCTATCAGTAGTTCTTTATTTTTATTTTTATTTAAAAAAAAATTTTTTTTTTTTTGAGACAGTCTTGCCCTGTCACTCAGGCTGGAGTGCAGTGGTGTGATCTCAGCTCCCTGCAGCCTCAGCTTCCCAGGCTCAATTGATAACTTCAACCTCAGCCTCCTGAGTCGTTGGGACTACAGGCGCAAGTCACCACGCCCAGCTAGTTTTCTTATTTTTTGTAGAGATGGGGTCCCACTATGCTGCCCAGGCTGGTCTTGAATTCCTGGGCTCAAGTGATCCTCCTGCCTTGGCCTCCCAAAGTGTTGGGATTACAGGCATGAGCCACTGCGCCCAGCCTTCTTTTTATTCCTTTTTTTTTTTTGAGATAGAATTTCGCTCTTGTCACCCAGGCTGGAGTGCCGTGGCATGATCTCAGCTCACTGCAACCTCCGCCTCATGGGTTCAAGTGCTTTTCCTGTCTCAGCCTCCTGAGTAGCTGGGATTACAGGCATGTGCCACTGCGTCTGGCTAATTTTTGTGTTTTTTAGTAGAGACAAGGTTTCGCCACGTTGGCCAGCCTGGTCTCAAACTCCTGACCTCAGATGATCCAGCCGCCTCGGCCTCCCAGTTTATTCTTGAGTAGTATTTATGGTATAGATTTACTGCAGTTTGTTTAGCCATTTACCTGTTGAAGGACATTTGAGTTGTTTCTAGGTTATGGCTGTTATGAGTAAAGCTGCTATAATCATTTGAGTACAGGTTTTTCAGTCAACACATTCTCAATTTTTTTTTTTCTTTGACAGAATCTCGCTCTGTCACCCAGGCTGGTGTGCGGTGGCGTGGTCTCGGCTCACTGTAACCTCCACCTCCCGGGTTCAAGTGATTCTCCTGCCACAGCCTCCTGAGTATCTAGGATTACAGGTGTGGCTACATGCCCGGCTAATTTTTTTTTTTTTGTATTTTTAGTAGAGATGGGATATCACCATGTTGGCCAGGCTGGTCTCAAACTCCTGACCTCAAGTGACGCGCCCACCTCAGCCTCCCAAAATGCTTGGATTACAGGCATGAGCCACCACACCCGGCACAAATCATCATTTCTATGAGATAAATGCCTAGAAGAGCAATTGCTATATCATATAGTAATTGCATGTTTAGTTTTTTAAAGAAACTGCTAAACTGTTTTTCAGAGTAGCCGTACCATCTTACGTTCCCAGCAGCAATACGTGAGCAATCTGGTTTCTCCACATCCTCACCAGCATTTGGTGCTATCACTATTGTTCACTTTAACCATTCTGATAGATGTGTAGTAACATCTCATTGTGGTTTAATTTACATTTCCCTAATGGTTAATGATTTTGAACAACTTTTTATGAGCCTGTTTTCCATCTGTATGTCGTCTTCAATGAAATGTCTCTTCATGTCTTTTGCCCATTTTCTGTTTTGTTTTCTTTTTGTTTAGCCAGTATCTCACTCTGTCATTTAGGCTGGAGTACAGTGGCATGATCATAGCTCACTGCAGCCTCCAACTCCTGGTTTTTGCACATTATCTAATTGACTTGTTTATTTGATTTGTTTTTTCCTGTTGAGTTTTTTGTTCACATTTAAATCATTTTATTTATTTTTTTAATAGCTTCAAGAGATAATTCACGTAACATTCAGTTCCCCAATTTAAACGATACAATTCAGTGGATTTTACTGTTTTCGCAGATAAGTGCCCCTATCATCACGTTCTATTTTAGAACATTTTCACTATCCTGCTATCCCTTCTTCCTCACCTCCCACCTCCACTCCTAAGCAGCCACTTATCTACTTTGTGTCTCTATAGATTTTCCCATTCTGGACTTTGACATGAATGGAATCACATGTTATGTGACCTGTTGACTGTCTTCTTTCACTTAGCATAATGTTTTCAAGGTTTATCCAGCATGTATTGCTATTTTATTTGTTTATGTGGCTGAATGATATTCCATTGTATGGATATGCCACATTTTGTTTATGCATTATATCAGCTGATGGACATTTGGGTTATTTCCACTTTTTGGCTATTATGAATAATGCTACTATGAACATTCATGTACAAATTTTTGTGTGGACGTATGTTTTTATTTTTCTTTGGGACATATAACTAGAAGTAGTATTACTGGGCCATATGGTAACTCTGTTGAAGTTCTGAGGAATTGCCAAAGTATTTCCCATAGTGGCTGAACCATTTTACATTCCCACCAGCAGTGTATGAGGGTTTTGATTTATCCACATGCTCACCAACACTTGTTATTGTCTGTCTTTTTTATTTTACCCATCCTAATGCATCTGAAGTAGTATCTCATTATGGTTTTTATTTGTATTTCCCTAGTGACTAATGATATCGAGCCTCTTTTCCTGTGCTTATGGTCATTTGTAGATCTTCCTTGGAGAAATCTATTTGAAGGCTATTCTCTATTCTTAGAGAAGTCTATTCAAGTCCTTTGCCCATATTTTAGTTGGGTTATTGGTCCTTTTATTATTAAGTTGTAAGAGTTCTTTTCTTTCCCCCCTCTTTTTTTTTTTTTTTTTTTAAGTCTCCCTCTTGTTTCCCAGGCTGGAGTACAATGGTGCAATCTCGTCTCACTGCAAACTCCACCTCCCAGGTTCAAGCAATTCTTCTGCCTCAGCCTCCTGAGTCACTGGGATTACAGGCGCCTGCCACCACGCCTGGCTGATTTTTTTATATTTTTAGTAGAGACGGGGTTTCACCATGTTGGCCAGGCTGGTCTTGAACTCCTGACCTTAGGTGATCTGCCCACCTCAGCCTCCCAAAGTGCTGGGATTACAGGCATGAGCCACCACGCCTGGCCAAGAGTTCTTTATATTTTCTAGATTCAAGTCTCTTACCAGATAAACGACTTGCAGTTATTTCCTTTCATTCTGCAGGTTGTCTTTTTACTTTTTTGATGGTGTCCTTTGAATCACAAAAGTTTTAAATTTTGACAAAGTTCAATTGAGCTAGATTTTCTTTTGTTGCTTATGCTTTGGGGGTCCTATCTAAAAAACGGTTACCTACTCTAGGATCACAAAGATGTACTCCTTTGTTTTCTTGTTAGAGTCTTATAATTTTAGCTTTAACATTTAAGCTTTTGATCCATTTTAAGTTTTGTATATGGCATGAGATAAGGATCCTAATTCATTATTCTGCATGTGGATATCCAGTTATTCCAGCATCATTTGTTGAAATAATTGTCTAATTGTTCCCCTATTGAATTGTCTTATCACCCTTGTCAAAAATCAATTACAGTAAAGTGAAGGTTTATTTCTGGACACTCAGTTCTATTCCATCACTCTATATATCTATCCTTAGTCCAGTATAACAAATCTACATGTCTTGATTACTGTCGCTTTGTAGTAAGTTTGAAATCAGAAAATGTAAATGCTGGCCAGGCACAGTGGCTCACGCCTGTAATCCCAACATTTTGGGAGGCTGAGGCGGGAGGATCAGCTGAGGTCAGGAGTTTGAGACCAGCCTGACCAACATGGTGAAACCCTGTCTCTGCCAAAAATGCAAAACTTAGCTGGACATGGTGGCGCATACCTGTAATCCCAGCTACTTCAGAGGCTGAGGCAGGAGAATCGCTTGAACCGGGAGGTGGAGGTTGCAGTGAGCTGAGATCGCATCATTGCAGTCCAGCCCAGGCAACAAGAGTGAAACTCCACCATTGCATTCCAGCCTGGACAACCAGAGTGAAACTTCATCTCAAAAAAAAAAAAAAAAAAAAAGAGAGAGAGAGAAAATGTAAATCATCAAACTTTGTTCTTTTTCAAATTGTTTTGGCTATTCTGGCTCCCTTGCATATCCACGTATCTAGAAGTTACGTGGATCAGCTTGTCAATTTCTACAAAGAAGCCAGTTGAGATTTTGATAAAAATTGTGTTGAATCTGTAGGTCAATTTGGGAAGTGCTGCCATTTTCACAGTATTTTTTTCTGATTCATGAACTTAGGCTGTCTTTCCATTTATTTAGGTCTTCTTTAATTTCTTTCAGTAATGTTTCCTAGTTTTCAGAGTATGCATTTTAACACTTTGTTAAATTTATTCCTAAGGATGACATTTCTATTTGGAAATAAAATTTTTAATTTCATTTTAGATTGATGCTGTCAAATAGAAATACAAGGACTTTTGTATATTGGTCTTGTATCCTGCAACATTGCTAAACTCATTTTGTAGTTTTAATAGTTTTTTTTTTTTTTTTTTTAAATAGAGTCTTGTCGTGTCACCCAGGCTAGAGTGCAGTGGCATATTCTTGGCTCACTGCAACCTCTGCCTTCAGGGTTCAAGCGATCTTCCTGCCTCAGCCTCCTAAGTAGCTGGGACTATAGGCTTGTGCCACCACACCCAGCTAATTTTTTTGTATTTTTAGTAGAGACGGGGTTTCACCATGTTGACCAGGCTGGTCTCCAACTCCTGACCTCAAGTGATCCACCCACCTCAGCTTCCGAAAGTGCTGGGATTACAGGCATGAGCCACTGTGCCTGGCCAAGTTTCAGTAGTTTTTTAGTGGATTATTAGTTCACTCTTCTTTTTGGTGCTCAGATTGCCTGATTCTAGATCGTGGGAGTCCCTTTAAGTGGGCTGTCTTGTTCTTTTGATGCTGTCCTCCAATAGACTTTGATAGTTTTCTTGATTCTGACACAATAAGATGTCCCAGGTTCATCCTGTTCAGTTTCTGCTCCAGTCTTATAATTGATTATTTTCCCAAGGATTGTTGGTTATTTTTAGTGGGAAATGGTATTAGTCTTTTTTCACACTGCTGTAAAGAACTACCTGACATTGGGTAACTTATTAAAAAAAGAAGGTGTAATTGACTCACAGTTCCACATGGCTGGGGAAGACTCAGGAAACTTAAAATCACAGTGGAAGGGGAAGCAAGGCACGTCTTATGTGGTGGCAGGAGGGAAGGAATGAAGAAAGCCACACTTTTAAACCATCAGATCTCATGGGAATTCACTATCACGAGAACAGCATGGGGGAAATTACCCCCATGACCCAGTCACCTCCCACCAGGTCCCTCTCCTCACACATGGGGATTACAATTCAAGATGTGATTTGGGTGGGGACACAGAGCCAAACCATATCAGGTATTTAATAATATCTAGAACCTTGGTGTTGGATAAACTCATTGCTGTCAGATAATTACTGCAACATGGCAGTAGCCAACTAAAAATGCTTGCACTAAATAAATAGTAGGTCTGAACTTTAGCTGCACATTACTGTCACCTGGGGGAACTTAAAAGGTATCCATTAAATAGGAATTTCTGGGGGTGGGACTCAGCCCTCAGTACATTTTATTTATTTTTTTTTTTTTGAGATGGAGTCTTGCTCTGTTGCCCAGGCTGGAGGGCAGTGGTGCGATCTTGCTCACTGCAAACTCCGCCTCCTGGGTTCATGCCATTCTCCTGCCTCAGCCTCCCAAGTAGCTGGGACTACAGGTGCCTGCCACCACACCAGGCTAATTTTTTGTATGTTTAGTAGAGACAGGGTTTCACCATGTTAGCCAGGATGGTCTCAATCTCCTGACCTCATGATCCGTCTGCCTTGGCCTCCCAAAGTGCTGGGATTACAGGTGTGAGCCACCACCCCCGGCCAGCCCTCAATACTTTTTAAAGCTCCTCAGGTGGTTCCAAAGTGTAGCTAAGATTTATAATTGCTGTAATAAAGTACAAAATGACTACCAGCCAGAGAGACAGTGCTATAATAGTAGAAATGACTTATTTTGTTGATCCGATTAAGATTTCATATACCTAAATTAAAGTAAATGAGAATAAAGCTGTATCATTGAAAACTATTTGGCAACTACTTTGAAAAACACTTTGTTAACTTATTCAAACAAGTATTATCAAACATTTCAAACAAATACAAAGAATTGCACAATGAGTCCCCATGTGTCCATCACCTCACTTTAACAACCGTCAACTAATGGCCATTCTTGTCTCTTCTATATCCCTACCCATTTCCCCCCTACTCTTGAGTATTTTGGAATAAACTTCAGACATACATCTGTAAATGTTTCAGTACATAGTTCTAAAAGATTGGGATTGGAGCTTTTAAAGATTGTTTTTAAATGTATCCTTACTATCACTATCACACCAAAAAATTTTAACAATATGAATTTTTATGTTACATAGGAAGATATGATAAGAGAACAGAAGATATACCATAAATATTTGGCACAGAGACGTGAGGAAGAAAAAGCTCAGGAGAAAGAATTTGACAGAATATTAGAGGAAGACAAGGAAAAGAAGTTGGCTGAGAAGGACAAGGAGCTGAGACTTGAAAAGGAGGCAAGGAGACAGCTTGTGGATGAGGTCATGTGTACAAGAAAACTTCAAGTTCAAGAAAAGTGTAAGGAACTGAATTACAGTTTTGTTATAGCTTGCTCTTAATTCAATTTAGGTAACAACCAAAATACTAACAACCATAATACTTATTATGTAAAACACCATGAGGGATGCAAAAAGGATGAAGGCAGGAGGCCTGTTTGTGCAAATCTTATCTAGTTGGATATATATGAAGAGTTTTATATACCAGCAGATTCCAGTCACAGGGGAGAAGTTCTCAAGGTTAAAGGAACAGTACATCATTTGAATACTGTGTGCCTTGGTGATTAGAATGAAGAGTGAGAAGGTGGGGCACAGACATACAACTCCCTCTTGTCCTTTGTATCTGTCCCTCTTTTCTTTTGAAAGTTTTCTCCATACTGTTGCGGGAAGTCAGGGACCCCAAACGGAGGGACCAGCTGAAGCTGCAGCAGAAGAACATAAATTGTGACGATTTCATGGACTTTTATCAGTTCCCAAAATTAATACTTTTATAATTTCTTATGCCTATCTTTACTGCAATCTCTGAACATAAATTGTGAAGATTTCATGGACATTTATTAGTTCCCCAAATTAATACTTTTATAATTTCTTACACCTGTTTACTTTAATCTCTTAATCCTGTCATCTTCGTAAGCTGAGGATGTATGTCACCTCAGGACCCTGTGATGATTGTGTTAACTGTACAAATTGTAAAACATGTGTATTTGAACAATACAAAATCAGTGCACCCTGAAAAAGAACAGAATAACAGCGATTTTCAGGGAATAAGGAAAGATAACCATAAGGTATGACTGCCTGCAGGGTTGGGCAGAATAGAGCCATATTTTTCTTCTTGCAGAAAGTGAGTAGGATAAATATCGCTGAATTCTTTTCCCAGCAAGGAATAGCCCTGGGAAAGGAATGCATTCCTGGGGGTAGGTCTATAGACGGCAGCTCTGGGAATGTCTGTCTTATGTGGTTGAGATAAGGACTGAAATACACCCTGGTCTCCTGTAGTACCCTCAGGCTTACTAGGATTGGGAAATTCCAGCCTGGTGAATTCTAGTCAGTCCGGTTCTCTGCTCTCCAACCCTGTTTCCTGTTAAGATGTTTATCAAGACAATGTGTGCACAGCGGGACACAGACGCTCATCAGTAATTCTAATTTTGCCTTCGCCTTGTGATCTTTATGGCCCTTTGAATCGTGTGATCCTTGTGACCTACTCCCTGTTTATACACCCCCTACCCTTTCAAAATCCCTAATAAAAACTTGCTGGTTTTGCAGCTCGAGGTCGCCATCATGGTCCTACCAATATGTGATAACACCTCCGTAGGCCCAGCTGTAAAATTTCTCTCTTTGTACTCTTTCTCTATTTCTCAGACTGGCTGACACTTAGGGAAAATAGAAAGGACCTACGTTGAAATATTGAGGGCTGGTTTCCCCAATGCCATACCTTTGTTTATGTAGTTGTCTCTGCCTATGATGCTCTTGATCATGAGAAATCTAGTCATCCTTCAGTGCCAGCTCAATTGACTCATGCCTTGAGCAGCCCTCTGTGTTCCCCCATTTAAAATAAATCCTCTTTCCAGGGCACTGTGGCTTGCTCACATCTCAGATGACCAACTGGCCAGGAGGGTCTTTATTTGGAGACTATTCTCAAAGTTTGGAGAATCTTCCCCCTTTTTAATACTTACATTCAATCCACGTCAGTTACTAGGTGTTTCTTTCATAAAGGGAGTTTAAGCTATTCTTGTAAGGGTAAGCTTTGTTTCAAGGTTTCTGAAAGTTACATCTGTGCTGAATGACCTTTGTCTCTTGGAAATCCCTGGACTAGGTTGCATCATACTGCTAAGTGATACATAGTATCAGCCCTGTGAGATGCTTAAGTTAACTTTATGGCTACCTATAATCTTATAGCCACATTATATCTCTATTATTTTACTACACTATGCCACTGTATTCCCTCAGCTTCAAGCAGTGCTTGGTCACAGAAGGGTGTTCGTTGAGAGGGTGAATTTCCACCTCCATATTTCTGCCATTTCCATGTCCAGCCCAAGGGACCAGAGAGGCAATAAACACATGGACACATTTATTATTAGGGTACCACTGGATTTCACACTAGTGGTCTTTGCAAGAGGAAGCTTATCCTGGTCCCATTCATTAATTCTTCACTCCAGGAATTATAATAGCAGTAGAAAATTGTTAAGCAGATGGAACTTTTAGAAACCAAGTAGAAAGTTTATACGCTGAAAAGATTTTTATATTCATCAGTGATGTTAGAAATAGACAATCGGTGCCAGGAAGAAAAGTCAGCACAGAGACAAATGATCTCTCAGCAAGGCCATCTTTACTTTCTGCAGAAAGGGTGCTCATTTGAAGATGGAACAATAGCAAGAGCACACCTAGGCCAGGGAGGGGAAGGAGTTCTTATTCCTGACTCACATGGCCCCTGCTGCCGTGTCGTTCCACTACTGGCTAGGGTTAGACCACACAGGCTAACCTAATTCTGATTGGCTAATTTAAGAGAGTGACAGGCTGAGTGGTCTGGCGGGAAAAATGGTTATGGAATGAGTCAGGGTGGAGAATGAGGGCGGAGCAGATAATCGGAATGAGTCAGGGTGGAGCAGGTAATCAGAATAAGTTAGGGTGGAGCAGGTAATCTGAATGAATCAGGGTGGAGCAGATGATCAAAATGAGTCAGGGTGGAGCAGGTAATCTGAATGAGTCAGAGTGGAGCAGGTAATCTGAATGAGTCAGGGTGGAGCAGGTAATCTGAATGAATCAGGGTGGGGCAGGTGATCAGAATGAGTCAGGGTGGGGCAGGTGATCAGAATGAGTCAGGGTGGAGCAGGTGGTCAGAATGAGTCAGGGTGGAGCAGGTAATCTGAATGAGTCAGGGTGGAACAGGTGATCAAAAAAGGTTGCTTTATGAGGAAGTTAAGTTTAAAAGTAGAAGGCAAAGAATTGAACATACTGACATATTGATTATTTGAAGAAAAATTTAGAACTCATATCTAACAAGCAATAAATGTTATGTAAAATATTGGAAAAACATGGAAAATTTATTGAGACCATTTATAAACAAGGAAACAAAATCAACCATAATTCTACCACCCGGGAATAGCTACTCTTCACAGCTTTGTATATTTTCTTCTAGTATTTTTACTACATATATAATTTTCCTTCACAGATTAGAATCATGTAGTATATACTGTTTTATGGTCTATAATTTTCACTTATTGAAAATATTTTAAGTCATTTTTTGTCAATTATAAGATTTGTAATGACTGCCTAGAAATCTGTTATAAAAATGGACCATAACTTATTTTACCTAAACACAACTAATGACCCTTTATATTGTTTCTAATCTTTTTACTGCTGTTTTAGAATTCCAGGTTACTGTCTCTGTACATAGTTATTTTTGGATTGTATCTGGTTGTTTAAGATAAATTTCTGAAATAGACTGTGGTACCAAAGATATATACATCTCAGATGTATATTCGCCAGTTGTATTTATTATTTTGTAAACTCTGTTTCCTTTGTCTTTTTTTTCTGTTGGGATGCTTAAATATATTTATTAACTTATAAGAGCTTTATTTATTTATTTTTTGAGACGGAGTCTCACTGTGTCGCCCAGGCTGGAATGCAGTGGCATGATCTAGGCTCACTGCAACTTCCACCTCCTAAGTTCAAGTGATTCTTGTGCCTCAGCCTCCTGAGCAGCTGGGATTATAGGCACGTGCCACCATGCCCAGCTAATTTTTGTACTTTTAGTACTTTTAGAGGGGGTTTCGCCATGTTGGCCCGGCTGGTCTCAAACTCCTGACCTCAGGTGACCCACCTGCCTCAGCCTCCCAAAATGCTGGGATTATAGGCATGAGGCATTGCGCCCAGCCAAGAGCTTTATATATTTAAATAATATTTATTTTATAATAAATATATATATTAAATAATAAATTATAATAAATAAACTCTTATTAGTATGAATGGCAATGAACTGTTTGTCTTCAAGGAGAGAAAAGTAGGAAGTGTTTTAACATTGGTAATTTATATGAAAAGGTAATTATAGATTTTCAATGAAATATGATTAAGAGGAAATCTGTAGATTGTAGCATATATGAGTCTAAACCCACTTTATTTCTCAATTGAGATGAGTACTTCTACTTTATCAATCTAAGATCCAGCCATGATTCTCAGCTCTACCTTTCTGAAGACAATATGACTCTGGTGCCCAGAAAGATGTTGGCAAGTCTTGTCTGAAAGTCATTTGACATATAATTACTTTTGCTTTTCTTAGTGCAAAGAGAAGCTAAAGAACAGGAAGAACGTGCTATGGAACAGAAACACATAAATGAAAGTCTTAAAGAACTTAACTGTGAAGAGAAGGAGAATTTTGCAAGGTATGATTTTGTTTTCTATATCATCATTTGCTACCTAAAAAAACAGATTTTTGGCCAGGCATGGTGGCTCACACCATCCCAGTACTTTGGGAGACTGAGGAAGGAGGATTGCTTGAAGCCAGGAGTTTGAGATTAGACTGGGCAGTGTAGCAAGATCTCATCTCTACAAAAAAATAAAAATAAAAATTAGCCAGATATGGTGACATAGACCTGTAGTCCTAGCTACTTGGGAGCCGAAGTGGGAAGATCACTTGAGTACAGGAGTTAAACACAGCAGCTATGATTGTGCCACTACACTCCAACCTGGGCAACAGGCAAGATCTGTCTCAAAAAAACAAAAACTAAAACAGATTTTCAACATAGAAGACCATGTACCATAATTCATGCATTATTGACATTATTTTGCATTAGTGTTACACTTGTCCTTCTAGAAGCTCAAAGCAGTTTACAAAATTTCATGTAAAAGTAGGCACCAACTGTCTTCGTAAAATTAAATTCCATTGCCATTATGTATATTATGATTATACACATAAGTTTTTAGGCTGGATGAATATCTTTAAAAATAAAATAAATTTGAAACACTTAAAAAATAGGCACCAACCTTAAATCCTAATAAAATAGGAAGAAGATTTTTTTTTTGCTCCATGAAGTAAATCCTGAAAAGCAGGCTGGCCTAATCAGCTAGATTAGCAGAATGGCTTATAGGGACAGGATTCCATACAAATGTCCCCAGGAGGATGTGTTTAGCCTTACTGCATTAGAAAACTCTGGATGCTTTGGGAAATACCACTGCCCTCCTCTGACAAGGGCTGGGATTAGTTTCCTTCTGATCATCACAACCAGGCTCAAGTGGGGGAAACAGGCGGCTACCTCCCTGCAGCTTTTCTTATACCATCGCACTCCCTTCCCACTGGTGGCCATGATACCTAAATCAGGCAGTCAGTGTAGTGGAGGAAGAGGACCTGGTTTCTCTGATTACTGGTCACCCTCCCTGTTCCTGGGGCCTGTCCCTTGACTTACTCACACTTGGTGCATAGAAATAAGCTTTTCTCTTTCTAGAAAAAGTATGGTTAATGTGCCTGATCCTATTCTCACTTTGGGGTCACAAACAACAATATCTGTCCTACTGTTCTGAGTTCCTGCTACTGCCTCTGCTGTGGAAATCTTTTCTTCTCATATATATGTGTGTGTGTATATATGTGTGTGTGTGTGTGTGTGTGTGTGTGTGTGTGTATATTTTTTTTTTTTTTTGAGCTGGAGTCTTGCTGTGTCACCTAGGCTGGAGTGCAGTGGTGCAACCTCAGCTTACTACAATCTCTGCCTCCCGGGTTCAAGCAATTCTCTGCCTCAGCCTCCCGAGTACCTGGGATTACAGGCACGTGCCACCACGCCTGGCTAATTTTTATTATTTTTAGTAGAGACAGGGTTTCACCACCTTGACCAGGCTGGTCTTGAACTCCTGACCTCGTGATCCCCTCGCCTCGGCCTCCCAAAGTGCTGGGATTACAGGCGTGAGCCACCGCGCCTGGCCTCCTTCTCATTTTTAAAAAGTCTCCTGTTGGAGATTTGGGAGGACTCAATAAATATCACATCTCTTCCCTGCTAAACTTCTGAATCAGCGGAGAGATAAGGAAAAAATTATGGCAGAGGTATTACAGTTACCTATTGCTACATAACAAAACACCCTGAAATGTGTGGTTTAAAGCAATTTATGATTATCTCTTATGATTCTGTGGGTCAACAAGGCTCGTCTAGGTAGTTCTTGCTTGGAACATCTCATATCGTTGAAGTCAGATCCACATGACTGAGGCTATATTCATCTAAAGGCTCAACCTAGGATACCTACTCATATAGGGAGCAGTGTATGCTGACTGGAGTCAGGGATCTCGGTTATCAACTAGGAGTTTTAGTTGTCACCTGGAAACCCTATGTGTGGGCTCTCCATGTGATCTGGACTTCTCACAATGTGGTGGCTTGTTCTGAGAGGGAGAGTTCTAATAACAAGTATACCAACAGCTGGGAAGAAGAAGCTGCCAGGCCAGTTAAGAGCTACAGCTGGGACTGGCATAGCATTACTTCTGCCATATTCCATTGGTCATAAAAGTAGTTACAGGGCCCATCCTGATTCAAGGAGATGGAGAAAGAAGCTCCACCTCTTGAAATGGTAGTAGAGGTTCACATTGCTGAAGAGCATAAGTAGGCTGGTGGCATGGGGGTAAAAGAATTTACCAAGACAGTTGTAGGTACAGGCAGATTTATTAGAGAAAGTAGGAAAATTCAGTGCAAGAAAGCAATGGCAGCCAGCAAGAGAGGAGCTGACTGCCAGGAAACAAAGGCTTGCTGGAGATTTTATAGGATGGTTCTTGGGCTACTTGATAACACCAAGGTAGCAGGGAGCTAACTTGCATTCTTCTGTCAGCCGAGGTGTTTGATGATAAATCGAAGCATTTGATGATAAGCAGGAAGTTTGTGAGTTTTGTATGTTATCTGCACAGGAGGGCTATATGTCCTGAGCCATGAACAAAGGCAGACCTATAGCTTATCTGCTTTATCTCTTTGCTTTCTCCTGGTTCCACCAGCCTGATTCCTTTTCCCTAATTAGGAGTACACATATGGGGAGGAAGATAGTACTGTGGCCATCTTTGGAAAATAGAATCTACCATAGAGGGGTATCCAAATTATCTTTATTTCTGATAAAAGTTGATGGAGTGTTTTCTGACCCCAACAACAGATTCTCTGATTCTTCAGACACCAACTGGATGTCCAAGAATTCAATTCAGTTCTGATAGTAACTACCCCTGGTTAGTACAGACCCCACAGGGTAAGGGCTTAGTCCCACAAACTGCTAACACTTCAGACACCAGATGCTAGTCCCAGACCACCTTCTGATCAACCAGCTATAAATTGGAGTTCCCATGACCTCCTCCTCAGGTTCAACAGTTTGCTAGAATTGCTCACAGAAATCAAGAACACATTTGACTTATGTTTACCAGTTTATCACAATGGACACAACTCAGGAACAGCCAAGTGGAAGAGAAGCATAGGGGCTTCCGTGCTCTCTGTGGGTGCACCATCCTTTCAGCACCTCTCTGTGTCACCATCACAGATGCCCTCAGAACATCCTTGTTCAAGAGGTTTTAGAGCTTCATCTCCAGCCCCCACCTTCCCCTCCTGAGAGGTCAGTGGGTGGGGCTGAAAGTCCTAACCCCCTCATCACTTGGTCTTTCTAGTGACCAACCCCATCCTGAGGCCACCCAGGGGCCCTACCCTAAGTCAGCTTATTAGTATAAAATCAGGTGTTCCTATGAATGACAAAAGATACTTTTACCACTCAGGAAATTACAAGAGTTGTAGGAGCTCTGTGCCAAGAAGTGGGAACAAAGATCAAATATAATTCTTATTATACCACAGCTGATATTAAAAATGTGGCTTATATTTCTAGCCATTGAAACTACAAAGAGGCCAGGCATGGTGGCTTACACTTGTAATCCCACCACTTTGGGAGGCCAAGATGGGCGGATCTTGATCCCAGGAGTTTAAGACCAGCCTGTGCAACATGGTGTAACTCTGTCTCTAAAAAAATACAGCAACAACAAAAAAATTAGCTGGGTGTGGTTGTGTGCACCTGTAGTCCCAGATACCTGGGATGCTGTGGTGGGAGGATCACCTGAACCTGGGAGGTTGAGGCTGCAGTGAGCCATGATTGTGTGATTGTTCCAGTAGTGTACTCCAGCCTGGGTGACAGAGTGAGACCCGGTCTAAAAAAAAAAAAAAAAGAAAGAAACTACAAAGAAAAAAATATGGCTTATAAATTGTAAAATTATATAACCATTATGGAAAACAGTATGGAGGTTCCTCCAAAAAACTAATATTAAAACTACTACATAATCCAGCAATCCCACTTCTGGGTATACGTCCAAAAATTAAAAGCAGGGTCTCGAAGAGATACTTGCACAGAAATATTCATAGCACTTTTCACAGTATTCAAGAGGTAGAAGCAACCCAAGGGTCTATTAATGAAACGAATAAACAAAACATGGTATATATTTATGACGGAATATTATTCAGCCTTAAAAAGCAAGGAAATCCTGTCACATGCCATAGTACGGATGAACCTTGAGGACATTATGCTAAGTGAAATAAGCCAGTCACAAAAAGACAAATACTGTATGATTCTATTTTTATGAGACATATAAAGTAGTCAGATTTATAGAAACATAAAGTAGAATGGTGGTTACCAGGGGTTGTGGGGAGGAAAGAGGGGAGGGGAGTTTCAGATTTGCAAGATGAAAAAGTTCTGGAGATCTCTTTTACAGCAATATGAAGAGACTTAACTGCTGAACTGTACACTTAAAAATGGTTAAGATGTAAATTTGTTATGTGGGTTTTTTTGTTTGTTTGTTTTTGTTTTTGATTTTTTGACAAGGTCTTGCTCTATTGCCCAGGCTGGGGTGCAGTAGTGTGATCACGGCTCACTGAAACCTCAACCTCCTGGGCTCAGACAATCCACCCACTTCAGCAGGGACCACAGGTACATGCCACCATGCCTGGCCAATTTTTTATTGTTTTGTACAGATCAGGTCTCCCTATGTTTCCCAGGCTGGTCTCAAACTCCTGTGATCCTCCTGCCTTGGCCTCCTAAGGTACTGGGATTATTAGGTGTATGACCTATGTAATTTTGTTTTGTTTTGTTTTTTGTTTGTTTATTTTTGAGATGGAGTTTCACTCTTGTTACCCAGGCTGGAGTGCAATGGCGCAATCTCGGCTCACTGCAACCTCCACCTCCTGGGTTCAAGCGATTCTCCTGCCTCAGCCTCCTGAGTCCCTGGGATTACAGGCATGTACCACTGTGCCTGGCTAATTTTTGTATTTTTAGTAGAGACGGAGTTTCTCCAGGTTGGTCAGGCTGGTCTTGAACTCTTGAATCAGGTGATCCGCCCACCTCAGCCTCCCAAAGTGCTGGGATTACAGGTATGAGCCACCGTGCCTGTCATAATGTGTTTTTTATTACAATAAAAATTACACTATAAATAAAAAAACTGTCATATATTTAAAATATGGCTTATAGATGCAAGAAATTGTCTAGTTAATACTGAACAGAATGATAAGATGAGGCTAACTTACCCAGTCCCCAGCAGCATGAGACCACTGCAGGCCTCCTGTGCAGGAATGTGGCCCTTTGATTTAGAGCAGAGCAGAAAACAGACGGAGCAGCCTCTAAGATGAAAGGGGAAAAGCTGGCTGGGTGCAGTGGCTCACGCTTATAATGCCAGCACTTTGGGAGGCCAAGGTGGGCAGATCACTTGAGGTCAGGAGTTTGAGACCAGCCTGGCCAAAATGATGAAACCTCATCTCTACTAAAAATACAAAAATTAGCCAGGCATGGTGGTGGGTGCCTGTAATCCCAGCTGCTCGGGAGGCTGAGGCAGAGAATTGCTTTAACTGGGATGCGAAGGTGGCAGTGAGCTGAGATCGCGCAACTGCACTTCAGCCTGGGCGACAGAGTGAGACTCCTTCTCAAAAAAAAAAAAAGGGGAAAAGTTGAATTGAACAGTTTGCTTATCCTTTCCAATTTTACCCATAGAGAAGAGTGAGGGAAGGGATGGAGGCAAACCAAGAACTATTCCCACATAGCAGTGAACATTGCGAGCAGGGAAGAAGCATTTCTTCTCTAAAATCAATATTTGTTCTAGGATTATATTAATGATTATTGTGTAAGAAACCCATTATTGAGTTTTTCATCTATTTCTTCTCCACTCACCCTGATTTTAATGGGAATTTTAATTTGACTTTACAAATTATATTTTAATTGTAATGCTCTAAATAAATCTAAATGCTTAGTTTTATAATTTTATGCTTTGACATTTCTAATACTTTAGACGCCAATGTTTAGCCCAGGAGTACAGGAAGCAACTTCAGATGCAAATCGCCTACCAGCAGCAGTCCCAAGAAGCAGAGAAGGAAGAGAAACGCCGAGAGTTTGAAGCAGGGATAGCAGCAAACAAGATGTGTTTGGACAAGATCCAGGAGGTCCTGTCCACCCATCAAGTGCTGCCTCAAAACATTCATCCCATGCGCAAGGCATGCCTCAGTGAGCTTCCACCATAGTTCCGTGAGCATCTATGTATCTTTTCTTGGTCTTTTAATATTTTTAACTACAGTATGCTTGTATGCTTCTTTTAACTCCTGGATAAACTGTTCTTTTTTTCCCTGAGTTTGTGTAATTAATTGAACGTAATTTTCTTCCTTTGAATAAACCTGCACCGTTTTCGGAGTTCACAGACTTACAAATCCAAATGCTCTACTTCATCGCATGTTGTTATTTTCCTGCCCCCTTTGCCTCCTTTTTTAACTCGCTTATGACTAGTTCCATTTGCTGACAACTATCTACCCATATGCCCATTTCTTCTTCCTTCCTTTCTCTTCTCTCTCATATACATAATTCAGTGTTAAGAGAGCATTTTTGCAGGCAGAACTGGGATTAACAGCCACTTTCATTAACCCACCTATTTAGTCATTAAACATATATTTTCAGAGTGCCTCCCATGTGCCAGGCACTATTCTAGATCCTGAGACTTCAGCAAAAACAAAATATACCCCTTGCTCTTGTTGAGCTTACATACTCAACAGGCAACAAGTGTTAAGTGCCATAAACTGGAAATGGCAGGTGTGCTGTTTCATTTTATATGTGATGATCAGAAAAGGCCTCTTTGAGCAGCTGATATTTGAAAAGAGGTCTGATATTTGAAAAGAGGTCTGAATGAACTAGCCATGGATTATCTGCAAGGTAATCATCTAAGGCAGAGGAAAAAGCCAGTGCAAGGTCCCTTGGGAAGAAGCCTGCTGAGTGCATTTGAGGCATAATATTTGTGCTGGAGTAGAGTCAGTAAACATAGATTAATCAGAAAGGTAGTTGGGGCCAGATGATGTAAGGCCTTGGAACCATGGTAAAGGCTGACTTTTGCTTCACTAAAGGGAGCTGTTACAGGGTTTTCAAGAGAGGAGCAACACAATATGATATAAGAGGGTTGCTGGCTGCTATGTCTAGAATAGACATCAGGGAGACAGAAACAAGCATGTTAAGTGATTGCAGCCAGGCATGGTGGCTCACACCTGTAATCCCAACAGTCTGGGAGGCCAAGGCGGGTGGATCACTTGAGGTCAGGAGATCGAGACCAGCCTGACAAACATGATGAAACCCTGCCTCTACTAAAAATACAAAAATTAGCCAGGTGTGGTGGCGTGCGCCTATAATCCCAGCTACTTGGGAGGCTGAGGCAAGAGAATCACTTGAGCCCAGGAGACAGAGGTTGCGGTGAGCCAAGATTGCGCCACTGCACTCCAGCATGGGTGACAGAGTGAGACTCTGTCTCAAAACAGAAAAAAATAATGTTAAGTGATTACAATAATCCAGGTAAGAGGTGGTGGTAGTGTGGTAGCCAGCCTCCAAGATGACTCCCCATGATCTTCTCCTGTATTTATGTCCAACCTCCCTGAATCACGGCTGATCTGCAGGACCAATAGAACGGAGTATAACTTCCAAGACGAGGTCATAAAAGACACTGCAGCTCAGTCAGCCACTTATGCTAGTAAGGATAGGATGCTCAAGAAGCCCTTCAAAGAGGCCCATGTGGGGAGGCATTGAAGCCTTCCGCCGAAAGGCAGCACAACATGCCAGCCATGTGCATGAGCAACCTTGGAAGATCCTCCAGCCCCTGCACCAGTTAGGCATTCAGATGACTACCGCCCTGGCTGATGACTTAACTGCAATTTCATTAGAGATCTAAGCCAGACTGCTCAGTCAAGGTGTTCCTGATTCCCAACCCACAGAAACTGAGAAATAACAGATGTCTGTTGTGGTTTAAGCCACTAAGTTTTGTGGTATATCATTAGGCAGCAATAGAAAACGAATACGGGTTGTATCTTGGGCACTGTGAGAGAGGTCAGATTCTATTTTAAAGGTAGAGCCAACAAGATGTGCTGATGGATGTGTATGTTGAGTGTAGGGCTTGAAAGAAAGTCATAAAATAGAACTCCAAACTTCTGGTCTAAGCAACAAACCAGTAAACTGCCTCTGTGGTGGGAAACATTTGACCTATCTCTAAAGTTGTGAACCTGGAGATGTTAGCTAAATGAAGTCAAAGAAATTAAGAAGTTACTGGGTGATTCTCATCAATAGTCAATTTGGCATTCTACCTCTGCACTGCACTGTGTTTTTCATATATCAAAATATGTTTTCTGTTACACCAGTTTTTGTGAAAAACAAATCTGGAAAGGTCTGAAATTTACATCCTTTTCCTAGAGTCATTAGACACAATGAAATAATTTAAAACTCTAGGAAACCCTAAAGTAATGAAACCTAGTTACCTTTGTTTAATCCTCTGTTACTCATACTTACTTGATCTTGAAACCCTTTGTAAAAAAATCAAACCGATTAACACCTTTTGGTAAATGCTCATCTTTCTTCTGCATATTCACATGATTCATTACATCATTTCCATGGGATATTCAGAGAAGCTTTCTGCAGGATATTACTTTCTAAATAAAACAGTGCTTTATTTCTAGTAGCTTGGCCAATGTTTTATGTAAAAATTCTAGAGAAATTTATTCTTTTAGACAGTATTTTAAAAGCTATATTGAGGTATAATTTCCATACCATAAAGTCTACCCATTGTGAGTGATTTATAAAGTGATTCTTGGTAAATTTAGAGCTTTGCAATCATCACCACAATTTAGTTTTAGAATGCTTCCATCACCCCCAAAAAGTTTTCTTGTGCATGTTTACACAAAACCCTACTTCTTTACCCTGTGCCAAGCAAACACTGACCAACTTGTGTCTCCACAGTTGTCTTTTCTTCAAATTTCATATTAATAGAATCACTCAATATGTACTCTTTCATGTTAGCCTTTCACTTAACATGTTTTTGAGGTTCATCATGATACAGGATGCATCTGTAGTTTATTCCTTTTGATTTCTGTAGTATTCTATTGTATGGATATACCACATGTTACACATCCATTCACTAGTTCAGGGACATTTGCATTATTTCTAAGTTTTGGCTGCTATGAACATTCACATACCAGTCTTTGTGTGAACATACACTTTCATTTCTCTTGGTTAGATATGTAGAAATGGAATTGCTAGGTCTTATGGTGTTTTTCACTTAAGTTGCCAGGCTGTTTCTTTTCTTTTCTTTTTTTTTTTTTTTGAGATGGAATCTCGCTCTGTTGCCCAGGTTGGAGTGCAGTGGCACAATCTGGGCTCACTGCAAGCTCCGCCTCCTGGGTTCATGACATTCTCATGCCTCAGTCTCCCAAGTAGTAGGGACTACAGGTGCCTGCCACCACGCCCGGCTAATTTTTTGTATTTTTAGTAGAGATGGGGTTTCACTGTGTTAGCCAGGATGGTCTCGATCTCCTGACCTCGTGATCCACCTGCCTTGGCCTCCCATAGTGCTGGGATTACAGGCGTGAGCCACTACACCCAACCCAGGCTGTTTCAAGTGACTGCATCATATTACGTTCCCACTGCAATGTATGAAGGTTCCATTTTCACCACATCCTTGTCAGCACTTGTAATGGCAATTCTAGTGACTGTGGAAGGTATCTCATTGTGGTTTTAATTTGCACTTTCCTAATGACTAGTGATGTTGAGCATTTTTTCATGAGCTTCTTAGCCCATCATATGTCTTATTCTGTGAAGTATTTATTCAGATCTTTTCCTCCATTTTCTAATTGGGTTGTCTTCTTATTACTGAGTTGGAGGAGTTCTTTATATAGTCTGGAAACAAGTCTCAGCTACTTGGGAGGCTAAGATGGGAGGATCACTTGAGCCCAGGAGGATGAGGCTGTAGTGAGATCTGATGGTGCCATTGCACTCCAGTCTGGGTGACAGAGCAAGACCCTGCCTCTGAAAAAAATTTTTTTTGGTCTTTGTCTTTGACTTTGCAAGAAACAGAAGCCCAAAGAAATCTCCTGTCTCTTGGTCTGGTACTTTTTGTTACAGGAAGTCAGGGACCCCGAATGGAGGGACCGGCTGGAGCCACGGCAGAGGAACATAAATTGTGAAGATTTCATCTTAATATGGACATTTATCAATTCTCAAATAATACTTTTATAATTTCTTATGCCTGTCTTTAATCCCTTAATCCTGTTATCATTGTAAGCTGAGGATGTGCTGTCACTTCAGGACCACTGTGATAATTGTGTTAACTGTACAAATTGATTGTAAAACATGTGTGTTTGAACAATATGAAATCAGTGCACCTTGAAAAAGAACAGAATAATAGTGATTTTTATGGAACAAGGGAAGACAAGCATAAGGTCTGACTGCCTGCGGGGTCGGGCAAAAAGAGCCATATTTTTCTTCTTGCAGAGAGTCTATAAATGGACATGCAAGTAGGAAACATATCGCTAAATTCTTTTCCTAGCAAGGAATATTAATATTAATACCCTGGGAAAAGAATGCATTCCTTGGGGGAGGTCTATAAATGGCCACTCTGGGAATGTCTGTCTTGTGCAGTTGAGGTAAAGATTGAGATTAGCCCTGATCTCCTGTAGAACCCTCAGGCTTACTAGGGTTGGGAAAAAGCCCTGGTAAATTATTATTCTTATTGGGCTTATGTGCCTTTTTCTCCACTTATTTGATCTCTCACCTGGATGGATACTCCTGTGGAGATCTATACTAACGACAGTGTGTAGCCTGGAGCTACAGATGACCATTGCCCCACTCAATCAGGAGAAGAAGGCACTGTGTTTAATGTTACTATGGGTTGTAAATACCCTCCTCTGTGCCTCGGACATGCACCTGGTTGTATCCATCTAGAAACTCGAGTCTGGGCTGCTTACCTTCCGGAGAGATCAGCCACAGGGGAATGGGGACATTTGGTCTCTGGCCTCTCCCTTTCTCCTTTAAGGCAAATGAAATGGGGAGTAATAGGATATACCCCATACTTTCAATATAAACCTGTAGGAAAACCATGTCCTAAAAATATTGAGGGCCCATCTAAAACTTTAATTTGGGAAGATTGTGTTAACTCACATGCAGTAGTATTAAAAAATGACTCATATGGTTTAGTAATAGACTGGGCACCAAAGGGCTATTTAGAAAACAATTGCTCCTCTGGCGGAAGGAAATGCCTGGAGGCTACTTATTTTTTTTCTTATTGGGAGGACAAGGATCATCATCGTACTTTGCATAGGAGGTTCAGCTCATTCTTTCCCTTAAAATGGGAAGGGCATTACCCCACTTAGGCCTCATATGATATTCCCCATTCTGAGTCCAGAACACCCAGAAC